TAGAATCCTAATTTTTTATATCCCATTTTCTTGAATTTTTATCAAAACTAAGGTCATTAACCTTTAAAACACCGTGATTACTAGTAGATTCTAAAGCATTCTGGCGATGGTATATAATAATCAGAATTATTGGGTTATTGGCCTATGTCTATCGCCCGATATTCTAGAAACTAGAAAACACAGGGTTTCGAAAACTGGATCTGTTTCCGAAACGCTGTTTTCTAGTTTTTTGATTACCGGGCGATGGACAATGTTCAAAACCCAGTAATTCACAATGGTTACTGCATGTACCACATTTAAAACTCTGTATTTTGCTTACAGAATGTATTTATACGTTTTATACGATTCTCAGAATAAATACTGATTACTTCCCTAAACAGCTTTAACCACTTAGCCTTTATAATGGAGACGCTGTGTTTTCTGTCAGGTATGAAGTGAATTATTAAATAATATTTATAAAAACAGCTGTGCTTCAAATTTTAAAATAAAAGACGAAATGATACGAAATGATGTGTATGAGCAGAAATGGGGTCAGGAAGCATAAATAATCCAGTACAGAGAGCCATTTTAATGCCCTTGTCTTCTACGTGTGAGGAAAGTCAATAAATGCTTATTCTGTCATCTAGCGGTGATCGATGAAATTACGCCGTAACTCTTTACGGTTACGTAACAATCAGAACTGTCCATTGCCAATGAGATTCAACTTGCTAGTACTACATATGCATACGTTTCTTATGTGGAAAATCACGATTATTGAATATTAAAACTTCGTCTTCAGTGTTCAGGATATTAAGAATTTCGCCTCTGGTTTCATTCTTTAGTTGCATTTTGTACCGAATCAATAGACACATGTGTAGAATGCTGTAAATATTCTAGCATTTCCATTTTATACAACAGTAAAATGCACTAACATAAAAAGTCTGGGCCTGATACATTCGTTCCTCCCTTCGGATCCATAAAACTCAACAGCACATGATCCATAACATTTCATATGTGAAAAATTACCGTCTTTCTGTCTCAAATGCCCAAACCTTGAAGAATACCTATAAATATACGTAGAAGTAAAGTTATTCCTGGGTTTAATTAATGTTATCCCTGGGCTTAATTACCGTATTTACGCATGCATAGGCCGCGTGCGTGTATAGGCCGCAGCACAATTTTCAGACAGAAATTATGGAAAAAATAATTTTCTTGGAATATTATTTCAGGAGTAGAAATTATTCCGAAATTTGGCAACGTTTAATTTTTTTTTAATGAAGTGTGATTTCGAATATAAGCCGCACCCCAGTTTTCCTCTTGAATTTTTGGCAAAAAATGTGCGGCCTATACATGCGTAAATACGGTAAGTACCATGCCATTAAGACGTATGATGGAGTGGAGATAGAGCTCCACCATTTTTAACCTCGGCACTAGATGGAAGTGAGTGTTCAGTCTCATTCCCTTGTTGCTTTACTCCCGGGAGAACAGCCCCTGTTACCAATAGTATAGGTTAGGTGAGCCCCATGGACGGTCTGGACGTTACGGAGAAGAAAAAGATCTCTTGTCCCTACCAGAAGTCGACAATCGACCCCTCAGTCGTACAGCCCGCAGCCTAGACGCTATACGGACTGAGCAACCTATGAATATACTTGTAAATGTATAGAAAACCGATTTGTCTAGTGACATACACGTAAAGCCATGCAGACACAGCTTCATGATCTAAATATTTCCTGTTGCTTTAAATTGTGGTATTTGGGATTATGACCCCTTGTTGAATTCTGACATGAAGATGTAGACGGTAAGATCCTCCGACACGCCTGTAATCACCAAAGATACCATACAGTGTCATAACCCAGAAGAAAAAAAAATAAGTAAAGGTATCCCTGTAACAAGCCGTGAAGGCCCATAGGTTTGTGAGATGTCGAGGTTCCCACATTTTCTAGACAATCGGCACACAGATGGCGGTAAGGTCGTCAGCCCTACGCGCCGGCAGCCCTTTACCCCCAAGAATATTCCTGGTACTCATTTCTGTTAGAGGCTGAGTCGACCCCAGGGCCATAGTGCGGCTGGAACGATTAGGTCAATTGAAATATCCACCTTATCAGGACTCAATCCCGCGACATTCCGGCTTGTAGCATAGTGCCTCAACCAACTACGCTACCGAGTGCCCCTCATAACCCAGAAGACCACAATCAAATTTTTCACAACACTGTAAACATCAAGTTCAATCACTATACACTACTGTACTGCCTACGTCATAATAAAATTCGTCCTTCGCGGCTTTCTTGCAGCAAACTCATATTACTTTAATATAAATCGCTAATGAAGCCTTACGCGCTATATCTGCATATGAAACAGACCCATCTAGTGACAGCGGGAACTAATGGGCTTCAAGTGCACTTCGAACAATGAAGGACACGCTGTTCGGTTATCGTTTACGTGTTATTCAAATTCATACACTCTTCTTTCTTTTTTTTTTATTTTGTCTTCAGCACATTTTCTAAGTTTCTTTCAATGCCGTAGTCTGCTGTACAGGACTCAGGGGACCTAATTTCTGGGGTTGCACCCGACAAGAATGAGCGTTTTCCAGAGATAGAGCAAACTTAATATTTCAGCTGCTGACGGTGAACTGTACACAGTCACATAACAATGACGGAAAAGAATTTCAAAACAACGATTTCTTGAAATTTTCAACCTGCTATGGAATGTCATGTAGACCACATGGGGACTACTTCGAGTTTAAGTCCCGTATCTAAACCTAGAGACAGTACATCAGCTATTAGTAGACTTCAAGAAAGTCTATGATTCAGTTAGGAGGGAAGAATTGTACAATATTCTTATATAAGATTTGAGGCTTTCACGGCGGTGACTATGAAGAAAGTAGTCTTTGGGATTTGGCACCGTGTATATGTGGTGTTAACCGACGTTTCGGAGGAA